CACTTTGTGTGTGCCCAGTCCTTAAAACTCCTTCCGTATCTTCGTGTCCACCTGAATTGTTCTCCCCTACACGTTTGCACATCCAGCTACCCAGGAAGTGGATCTTACAATGATTCTGATAGAGTGAGGAGTGTTGGATTCCTGTTGGGAAGAGCTCTAGGTCCATAGACATCATTTGAATCTGTAGAAGAGAAAAAGTGGATGCATACAACCGCTAACAGATGAGAACTGGGGGAGTGTGAACAGATGAAGGAAGTGTAGAATTGAGTGAATGTTTCTGTAGTCCCTGGAAAGGAGTAAGAATGACGAGTACAATCAAAACCAGCTCTTTCCTCCTAGGGAACTATGTCAGCAGGCTGTGTTATCTTGTGAGCGCATTGTAACAAAGATAAAAGACAAACACATTTTGTTTGGGAAAGAGCAATCAGCTCTGCGGAGTTTTCTAAACCAGTCTGAGGTTTGACATGGTGGTGAATGAATGCCTCTACCGCAGTGCTCTGGAGATGCAGATGCAGGGAGGGAAGGGGGATGGGACGCTGAAGGAATCAGCATGACCACACAGAGTCCTAGTCATTTTCATAGTCACAGATTAGTTTTATTTAATGAACAGAGTGAAGCGCTCAAGGACAGTTTCTCAGAGTCAGAGGGACAGTGTCCTGAGCAACAGAGCAGGCAGCTGTTGACCTTGGCAGCTGCAAGAGGAGGCGGTTGAAGGTTACCATCTCTGAGAGGAAAGAAAGCAGGGCAGAACCAGCAGTGAAGGTCATGAGCAACTACCCCAAGGGGCGGGGCTTTGGGGACAACTGTTCTTTCCCATTTCTTTATCCTGTCCTCAGGTGTCATTTCCTTCTCATCTTTGGGTTGGTTGTACAAGAGAACTTTATTTCTACGGCAGTAGAGTTTTTACAACAAAGGAGACCCCAGACCTTGTCCAGACATTTGAAGCATTTGCTTTCTACATCGAAGACCATCGATGATTCTGTCATTTGCACTAGAGAATTATCCACAAAGGCTAAACTCTGGCCCACTGATCCTGACGTATTTCCGGTGGTCCCCTGGAAGCTACAGAGGCTCTTTGTCCATTCCCTTTCTTCCTGCCTAGGGCCCCAACACATCAGAACACTGGAGGACGAGGCAAGAGGATTACAAAGTTAAGGCCAAACTGTGCTACAGGGTGAGAGCCCATCTCAAAAGATGGGAAAAAGAAAAGAAACCCACCACAAACCACAGGCTGAACTCTGCACAAGTAGGATTTTACTAGAGTCCGCTCAGAGGGAGCAGCATGTATGGAGACGTGAAAACGGAGGAGAGGCAAGAGGAGCTACAGGCTCAGACCCGGGTCTGAATCCCACTCTGTATGCAATTATTAGACTACATTAACAGATGTTCTTTAAGTTTCTTCATTTGTAAAACGGAGATAATAATCATCTGTATTTTATAGAGTTGTTATGAGAATAAAATGAAATATATAGTATGCAGAAAATCTAAAAGTCCTGAATGATGAATGCTAAGTATTTGGTGTTCTTCATTGTGGTGGCAGCTATCCTTTCCTGTAGAAAGGAAAATAACAATTCTGCCGTGTAAGCTAAATGAAGCAAACATGTTACGGCCTCGGCAAACAGTGAACTGCCAAAGGAAAAAGTAGTCATTGTTGGCCCTGTGGCATAGATATTTGTACAGCCTGTATGTGTCTTGTGGACAGCAGAAAACTAATGGAGCTGAATGGTCGGAGGAGGGCGTGGCCAGATTCAGCTTTCTATTAGAGGTAGCAGAGATAGGAAGAGGCAAGTCCCAGCGGATCAGTCAGGAGACTACAGAAACGAAGAAAGAAATTATAGTGATTTGAACTATGATGATAGGCTCAGGGTTATCAAAAGTTTAAGGAGGTACCCTCGGTAGGAACTGGTTCTTGGCTAGTAAATGGGTACGGAAGTAGAAGTAATGGCTAAGAATGATTGCAAGGTTCTGACTGGAACAGGTAGGTAGACTACAGTGCCATATTCTGAGACACTTGGCTGGGGACAGAAGTCATGGGAGTCTCCCGTATGCTGAATCTGAGTTGTCTTGAGATGTCCTGATGGATACATCTTCCAGGTGGATACGAAGGTGCTAGGAGATCTAGGCTGCCCATCTAGATCTGGATCTAGAGACGGTATTCCTGGGTGGGGACAAGATGGCAGCCATGGAAAATGTATCGAGAGAGGACAATGTTGAATTGGGCAGGCTTACTACGAATTACTAAGTTCCTGTACTCTTTGTTGTTAGAGATAGAGTCTCATTGTATAGCCTAGGCTGCCCTTGAACTCCAGATATTCCTGTCTCAGCTTCCTGACTATCAGGAAAAATACCTCTTGAGAAAATCTAGATATGTTTTTCCTGCATCCTCCTAGCCTCATCAACAGAAAGCATTCACAAAAACATCATGCAATTCATGGAATTTATATTGAAGGACATCCCATGCAGAGAATTCAGATAGGAAGGCAAACCTCTGAGACTTACTCGGAGGTCAAAGCTGGCACGGAAGCATCACCATCCGTGTCTCAAGTGGAATAGCACAACTCTGCTGACAAGCAGATCAAACAAAGAGGGCCAAAGAGGAAAATACACCCTGGTGCTCAGCATCGGGATGAGTAGGTCTTCCCCGCTGTGGTCAGATAATAAAAACTGGGAAACTAATAGAAACTTGAAATTACGCCGGTCTGTAAAAAGAACGCATTTCCAGGACAAATAAGAACAGTGAGCTAGGGAGTGAGGCCAGAATGCATTCTTTAACCCAGAAACACGGGCAAACTGTCAAGAGAGTGAAGCATGTGCAAGAAGAAAATTTTGCCTACAGAAGAAAGGGGACTTTTATCTTCCCAGTTCTTGACCTAGTTTTAAATACACAAACTATCGGAATTTCCTTTTCAAAGAAGCTGAGGCAGCTGTGCTTGCTCTAAAATTCTTTCCCTAGGTCCGTATCCAGATTATGAAATGTGTGTGAGTGTGTGTGTGTGTGTGTGTGTGAGAGAGAGAGAGAGAGAGAGAGAGAGAGAGAGAGAGAGAGAGAGAGAGGGAGAGGGAGAGGGAGAGGGAGAGAGAGAGAGAGAGAGAGAGAGAGAGAGAGAGAGAGAGAGAGAGAGGGAGAGGGAGAGGGAGGGAGAGGGAGAGGGAGAGAGAGAGAGAGAGAGAGAGAGAGAGAGAGAGAGAGAGAGAGAGAGAGAGAGAGAGAGAGAGAGAGACTTACCCTGCAGCCCAAGCTGGCTGCAACCTCACAATTCTCCTGCCTCAGCTTCCAAAGTGTCAGGATAACAGGGTTTTTTTTTTTTTTCTGTATTCTTTATCTTTCACAAATGCCTTTCTTAATTTTCTTTCTCTTCTTGTAACTCCTGGTGTATTTCATTGGGATGACTGTTTTGTTCTGTTGAAGTATCTTTTTATATTTATTTATTTATTGGCGTGGTGGGGAGCCATGCCACACAGTGGATGTTAGGGGACAACTTAGGAAAGTCTGTTTTCTTGTCCCACCGTGTGGGTTCTGTGCCTCTACCTGCTGAGCCGTCTCTGACATCGCTTTTGTCATTTCTGTATTTCATAAGTTAGTAAACAAAGTCACGAGCTTCATTTAGTCATTCTTTTAATAAAATAATAATTACTATTAATATTATTAGTATGTGTATAATGTGGGGATTTATCAAGGCAACTCCACGGAGTTAAAAAGGAGGTTTATTTTGGGGTAACTTACAGCCAGTAAAGGGGTTGGTTACAGGATCCAGGAGAGGTGAGGTGAAGTCCAGTGGGGTTCTCTGGAGAACTCTGACTCAGTCTGCCATCCAGCATCCAGGATCACCAGGAACCAAGATCCCGGCACGCCCGGATCTCAGTCTTAAGGGCTCCTGTCTCGGCCCTGCCCCAGGGGCAGGTCAGAGGTAGGCATGGCAGTTACCAGAAGCCTCACTAGGGGTAGGACTTCCAGGTCAAAGCTGGAACAGCCACCCACTATATGTGTATGCACACTATGTACGTGTGTGAGCATGCATGCCATAACACGTGTGGAGGGCAGAAGACAACTTTAATAGAGTCTGTTCTCTTCTTCCACCGTTACGTGGGTCCCAAGAATGAACTCAGGCTTCCAGGCTTCCATGACAAGGACTTTTACTTGCTGAACCATCTCACTTGCTCCCATTTAGCCTTTTCTTTAAAGATTCATTTTATTTGTAATTCAGAAAAGAGTGGGCCTCTCGGGGATATCAGTTGAACATGACATAAGTTACAATAAGACTAGGTGAAGACCCTCATATCAAGGCTGGATGAGGCAACCCAGTAGGAGGAAAAGGGTCTCAAGAGTAGTCAAAAGAGTCAGAGACACCCCGAGTCCCACTGTTAAGACTCGCACAAAAACACCAAGCTACACAGCCTAACATATGTGCAGAGGACTTAACACAGCTTCATACAGGCTCTGTGATTGCCATTTCAGTCTCTGTGAGCCCGTATGAGCCCTGCTTAGTTGATTCTATGGGCCATGTTCTCCTGGTGTCCTCAACTCCTCTGGCTCCTACAATCCTTCCTCCCCCTCTTCCACTGGGTTTCCTGCTTCTCCTACATCTTAGGCTTCTGGAAGTTCTTTCAACTTCCTGTGTCTCCATTTCCACTTAAGATGGTATAATAGTAGTTTGTACCTATTTATTCAGTTATTATTTGAGGATTAAATCATCAAATGTGTGTCTAAATAAGAATAAAGAAAATAAAAGTCACTAGATGAACAGAAAAGAGTTAGCCTCACCTTTGAATGTCTGATATTTCTACAGCTTTTGTGCAGTAATGCATAAAAGGACTTTAGCAAAGATATCCATGATAATTTGGGGGAAGGTACCTCTTAGGCTCTTCTTGGTTGGCCAGGGACCCAAATAACACCATTCCCAAAAGGAAACAAAAACCTGACGTAGAGGAAACATATTCCCTCTGCTCCGAACTCACCAAGTCATTCAACACCGAAGTACACAAGAAACTGACACGTGACACTCAATCCACCAGGATTTTAATCTCCTTTCATTTTGTACTGAAGACTTTGGAAATGGACTCAGAATTTAACATGTTGGGAGAATGAGACTAAATAAAACAAATCTTTTAAACAAAAGAGAGAAGCAGAGATCAAGAAGCCAGACTCTGTTAATATGTAACAGTCTGGACTGGCTGACTCCTTGTTTCCTGTTTTTGGTTTATGGTCAGTAAGTGTCCAGGACAAAAAGAACATCACTCACAAGAGAAACCAGCAACTCCACTGACTGAAGGCGCAGCAGGTTCTTGGGCAGAGAGCATTCAGATCTCTCAATATTCATATTCACCGAACCTTTTCTCTGAAGGAAAAAGATAATGTAAGTTAGTTTTGTATTGGAAGCAGTTCAGCTGCAATGCGTTCTTAGAGCTGCACAAGAAGGAAAAGCTGTAGCAATGAATTCTTTGTTCCCTCTAAGAATGGCAGCCCTCTAAGGGGACTCTAAAAATACCCTAAAAGTATTTTCTTAATTGCTGTCCATTTAGAAGATGAAATTTGGTTTTACTAGCTCATTTATTCCTTCACTCAACAAATATTTTTAGAGAACAATTAGAGAAGAAAAAAGGAAACGGGCAGGGAAAAAATAGTATTTCCTATCAACTTTCAGAGATAAAAAGAGAAAAGAGCAACATAGACCCGAGCCTCAGGGCGGCCCTCCCTTGTCTGTTAGGTGTGTGGGACTGGGGTAGATGGCCAGGAAGCTGATGTCATAGGTCAGCAACTCACATCACATTCCAGGATGCTCTGGGGAAAAATCATCCCAGACAAGGAAAGACTGCAGACTGGAACATTCCTCCTCCTATCTCTCTACAAACTTCTAGCTTAGAATTGAATATCATTCAACCTTATTACCCACTACCCTTGCATGGTACAACCTCGTGATGTCCCTCTTCTTGGAGTCAATGCCGTTATCCCATGTGTACGCCGTCCATCTGAGCCTTAACCTCCTCTCCTGTAAGATCTTTGCCTACGTCTTGTTTTAGTCACCCTCCCCATGGTTAGTCCTTACATGATGACGTTAGTGTTAACTATGACTTCTCCCCTTGCTCAATTTCAAGAGTCTTACTCTTTAACCATTACCTGCGTCTTTCCAATTCACCATCTCAAGTCCCCCAGCTTGAAGAGTTTTTGAATGCCACCAGGACCTAGAATCCAGTGACTCTACCACTTTGAGGGAGATATTAGGGGTAGAACCCAGGGCTGCATGAATGCTGGGCAATTGCTCTACCACCAAGATATAAGCCCAGCCCTCCTACCACCTTTCCTCTGCCCTTCCACTTCCATCCTTCATTTTTCCCAGATCATCTTAAATTCCACTGCTGACCATTATACTACCACTCCACACCCATCTGTCTCTATCTATCATGCAGCATGACAGAACTCTAACATCTGGTTGACCCAACTTTATTACCTCTGTGTCTACACTCCAATAACTGAGATTGGAGAAAAACACACAGTGGTGCCCGGTGTCCTCATTTTAATGTAATGATCATGAACTTCAAAGTGCTTTCAGTGAAAAAAAAAAAAAAAACACAAAAACAAACAAACAAAAAACCTGTTCTATTTCTTTAGTTAGTCTCTTCTAGATGATTGCTTTATTCTTTCCCAACACTGGCATGGCTAACTTTACACTCAGCTCATGAGCTCACTCCTAGTTAACTTATCCTCTCTCAAATAACCTATTCTCCATCTTCATCTCTTTTGATTCCTCAGTCGTATTCTCATAGTTAAACATTCCTTCCTCTCTGAAATGCCTTTTCCTTGGTTTTCTGGTTATGACATTCTCTTGGTTTTCAATTTATTTCTCTCTCCATGCCTTCTCCTTCTCCTTTACCATGTTCTCTTCATCATTCTCACCCACTCACAAAGGATGTGAAAAGAGTAAAGGGCAGAGAAAAGGGACCCAAGCTTCAGCACCCAAACTTCATTTATTTGTTTTTACATTTTTGCATTCTATTTCCATGGTGAGCACATGCAGTCTCGGAACTTCAAATCCCATCTGTGGTTCACAGTCCCCAGGTTTTGCTTCTGAGGCTGCCTCTTTCTCTTAATTGAATGTGTGACTACATACTCAGCATTCCCCTCCAATGGCTCACATGGGCTTCTCTAACTAAAGATGCCCCCAAAAGAAACTCCAGGACTTTCTAGACAGATACGGATTTACTCACGCTCTTCCTGAGAAAATCTCAGTGAGCATGGACTCCTCTTTCCCTTATACCCTTCACTTCATCTTTCAACAAACTCTGTTCGCTTTACCTCCAGAAATGCAAACATGACCCAGTCTCTTTTTGTTATTTCCACTCCTAGCACCTGGGGTCAAGACACCATCTTCTCTCGCCTGGATTATCCTAATAGTCCAACTGGGCCCCCGGTCCCCCTTGCCTCTCTGTGTCTACCCTCAAGAGTAACAGGACAGAGCTTTGTGAAATGCCAGTCAGACCACTTCACTTGTCTGTGCAAAGCCACCAGGGGCTCTGCATCTTCCTCACAGGATGAGGAAAACCCAAAAATCCTTACAGTCCTCCACTAGAAACGACACAGTGCTAGCTGCCTCTCATCTTTCTACTGTCTTCAGCCCTGCACTCTTTCCATTCCAACCCTGGCCTCCTTGCTGCTCCTCAAACCCACCATCCCTGCCTACCTCTGGGCCTGGCTTCCACATCTCTGTTCAAGCCTTTGTTGAATCTTAGCATGGAAGTGAGGCTGTCTACAGACAGTCTAACATTACAACTCTCCCTCCCTCCTCTGTTCTTCCTGATCTGCTTCCAATGTTTTGCTTTCCTTTATGTGACTAGTCACCATATGATATAATACACGTTTTCCTTTATATTGAAAAACACATACAGAAAAGTATGTAAGTGTCCAGCATCATTGTAAATGTAAATCTCATATAAACTGAATACTACCATATAACCAGCACCCGCACCAATAAGTGGAATAATATCTGTACCCTAGAAATCTTCCCCACTCCAAGGGATACCACTCTTCTGACTTCCTTCACATAGCATAGATGAATTTTTTTTTCCATTCCCCCCTCTCCCGGTATTGAATTTCATGTAAATGGGCTCATATGGTGACATACAACACATTTTAATGATCTGTTTACTGTGTATCTTTTTCCCACTAACAGTAGGAAAGTTTCGAGAGTGTAAGAACTCATTATATTCACTGGTGTTATCTAGCACCTACAAAGAGGATATGGAGCTCAACAAATATTTGATGTGCAAATGAACAAAACAAAATATTGAACAAATAGAAAGGAGCAGAAGAGAAGCTCTCCGAACGTGAGCCAAGTCTTGGGAAACGGGCAGGAGTGCATGAGGCAGATCAAGAGAAGAGAGGTATTCCAAGAGAGGCAGAGTCTGCACAAAGGCTTGGCACTGTGGAAAAAAACCAGATCCAGTCTGAAAGTCACAGGACGTGGTAAGCCCAGAGCAGTGAGCAATGGCTATGCCTTGAGACACAGCAGCTCCGGAGCTGGGAAAACAGGCTGATGCCGGATCTCAAGGGTCTCAGATAAATACATAGATGAGGGTATAGAAAGAAGTCAAATACGAGGACTTTTTAATAGCTCTGGGACATTTTAAGGGTGTTGAAATTTCAGAGGATAAAAACAACAGTATTTCTTTTGAAGCCCACTCATTAATAATGCATCCTAGTGTTCTCAGAAGAAAGTCCGAGGCCCACGGTAATGTTCACAGACACCAAGTTCATCCGAATGTGTGGGAAAGACTTAAAAGTCTGGCAGATAAGTGAGCATTCCCCACCCCTTTCCCTTTGAAGGAAAGGCCAGCTCATGTGGGAAATTCAAATGCATGAGTCTGTCTGGTTTGTCCTGTTTTGCTGGACTGAGAGAAGGCCGTGGGAGCTCTGCCTCCCTTACCTCATAGACAGCGCTCTGAGGAGACCACACCCTATCCCCCCTCCCTGGAGAACAGAGGTGCTCTGGGTGTCTTTACCACCCACCACAGCTTACATCCTATACCAGCGCTTCTTGGACTTGAGCGTGGGTCAGAATCACCTTGAGGCCATATCAAAACTCGGCACTGAGTCCCCCCCCCCCCCCCCCCCGAGGATTTACTTTCCAGAGGTCACAAGGGGACCCGAGAACCGACCTGTCCTTGAGTTCTCTGAGGTGACAGTGCTGCTGGCCTGGGCAATCACTACCCTGCACACTTGCCTGCATCCTAAACCAGGCAAAGAGTTTTATCATATCTCCTTTTTCTTCTTCCAAAGCTATGAATGCTCCATCCCTATCATCCCTGAGCTTCAACTTTTCCTGCTCTTACTAAATGTTTCTATTACTGTATTTTATCAGACAAAATATAGGGCATCTAGTTAAATTTGATAAGTAATATCAATAAATTTCAGATATATACTGACATAGATGATGTTATTGGTTACCAAAAATTTAAAGTATGTGTTCATTAGTCAAGATTTTGGTCAAATTATTTAATGTTCTAATTTCTTCATATAGAAAGGGACAGTAAGCCGGGCGGTGGTGGCGCATGCCTTTAATCCCAGCACTCAGGAGGCAGAGCCAGGCGGATCTCTGTGAGTTCGAGGCCAGCCTGGGCTACCAAGTGAGTTCCAGGAAAAGGCGCAAAGCTACACAGAGAAACCCTGTCTCGAAAAACCAAAAAAAAAAAAAAAAAGAAAAAGAAAGGGACAGTAATAGCAATTATCTGGCAGGACTGGGTTAAAGATTTAAAAATAGCGGGTGTGGGCTGGGGAGATGGCTGTATGGGCACGAAGGCCTGAGTATGGGTCTCCAGCATCTAAAGACTTAGTGCAGCAGTGCCCAGGTGTGATCCCAGCCCTGGGGGAGCACAACCAGGCAGATGCCTGGGACTCGGTGCCCAGTTGGTGTAGCTGACTCGGTGAGCTCCAGATTCAGTGAGCAAACCTATCTCAAAAAAGCAACCGAGGAAGAATACTAACATCAGCCTCTGGCCTCCATACTTGCACATGCGCACATGCACCCCAAACACACATGCACACACAGACACATGGACACACACACAGCACATATGTGAAGTTCCAGGCACATGGTAAGCAGCCCACAGATGGCTGTGATGACCGCTCAGCCTGTCACACCAGGAAGCAGAGGAACAGGAGCCTCATTGGGAGGGGCAACCATCTCTGTCTGGACAAGAGCTGTCATTCCCCGAAGCCTAGTCTTTTTTTCAAACCCAGAGAGACTTCACCTCACTACCATTTCTGACCCCAGGCTACAAGCTCCTGTTCCTGATGCATCTTTAAATCCCCGAAGTGCTCCGAAGTGCCTGCTACATTTGGCGTTCAGTAAATATTAATGAGTGGTGGCTTCTGTGTGATGAAGAGCAGCCCGTTGTCACTCTCCCCTCGGAGCCGCACTTACTTGGGTACCGCCGGATGGATCTGGTGGGCCGGTTGTTTTCATTTGTCTCTGTAATGTGGCAGACGTATTTTTCATTTAACTTGACTGGGTATCTGAGGACGGAGTACACTCTGTACAAGCCATTCATCTGCTCCTCCAGGACCTCCACTGTGCTGTGGTTGCTAAGGTCCCTCTCTCCCCGGTCTAACCAGGTCACGTTGGGGGTGAGATACCAGCCCTTGGATGTGCATGTGACCACATCTTCTTCATCAATCTTCTCAAACTTCACCTGGGGCATTTCAGAATCTGGTTGGGAAAAAATAATAATAATAATTAGTTCCTTTTTGGTTTTAGTCCCAGGAGGCTCAAGCTCTCGGTGTTTATGCTAACCCTGATGGAGAAAACATGTTCCCGGGTTCACTGTAGCTAAAATTTTGGCCCAAGCATAGTGAGAGAAAAATGGGACTCTCTTGCCACGTAGGCCCCCACTGATGCTGTCTTTATTTAGGGGATCTTTTCTTCTTGGTGTGGGTTCACTCCAGAATCTCCACTGACCTCAGATGCCCCAAATGAGAATCGCAGAAAAGTCTGTGACTGCACCACTCTGAACAAACCCAATCTCATCTGATCTCGGCTAAGCAGAGCCAGGCCTACTTAGTACTTAGATGGGGGAATCACAGTGGATAAGTAATACAATTGGGAAGTGGTACATGCCTGTAATTTCCACCACTCAGAAGACTAAGGCAGGAGGATTGCTGTGAGTTCAAGCCCAGATTGGCCTACATAGAAAGATCCTGTCTCAAAAAAAACAAACAAAAAAAATTGAGAAACAATTCTCATCACCTTCCCATCTCTTTCAACTCTTACCCCAGAGGGAGGCTGTCTTGCAGGACTCAGCACCCTGGGCTCTCTGTCAAAGGGACATAGTTTTCATGCAACACTGGAGGGTAAGGGTACAATACTGGGGGAATATGGATTCAACCCAATCAATGTTTTTCAAACTATTTTTTTATATTTTTAAATTTTTTATTTTATGTGTGTGTGTGTTGCCTACACATATATCTATGTACCATGTACATGCCCCGTGCTCATGGAGGCCAGAAGAGTGGTTGGATCCCCTGGAACTGGAGTTACAGATGATTGTGAGCCACCACGTAGGTGCTAGGAATCGAACCAGTGCTTTAACTAAGGGGCCATCTCTCCAGCCCTGAAACCTATGCTTTATAGTGAGAAGAGTGAAGCCTAGAGAAGCTAACGGATTGCCCAGTGTCATCCAGATGTACAACTCCAGTCTTCTGATTCCCAGTTCAGCACCATTCACATTAAACTATGTCTGACCTTAGCATTTTCCTGTGGGACTATTGTATCAGATGTGTGTGTGTGTGTGTGTGTGTGTGTGTGTGTGTGTGTGTGTGTGTGTAGGGGGGCAGTTACAATGTGTAACATTTGGGATTCAACCAGTGCAGCTTTGGCTGCCCTTCAGTTCATTCATATTAATGAGTGAGTGATGTATCCTGGGACAGACATAGCACCTTTTGTTCAGAGAAACAGTTTTAACTAAAGTAAATTGATATTTCACTGCTCTTATAATAGGAATAAAGTCATTTGGGCTAGAAAAATGAGACCACCCAGAAGGAAAATTTAGAGCGTACTATGAACAGAGGTCAAACGTGAAGCCAAGTTCATCCATGAAGTCCCTTTACCTTCCACTATGAGCTTGACCGTACTCTCCCCTCTACCGCTGGGGGCGATGGCTGAGCACTTGTACAAAGCTTCGTCCATGAAATCCACGTTTCGTAGCAGAAGGGACAGAATCCCCTCAGAGATTTCACTCTGATCCACAGAGACTCTTCCCTCATATAAGGCATTCTGCTCTTCAAGTTGCTCCGCATTATCGTAAAACTGGTAAACCACCTTTGTGAACACTTGAAAGAAGTCGTAGTACCTAAAAAAGCGGTAAAAGTCACGGTCTTCCACCTCATATTCCTCTATTATGTCTTCTCTCTCCCAGTAAAACTCAAGGTTTTCTGTGCTTTCTATAAAGGAGAACTCGCAGTCCAGGGTCACATCGGTGAATGGGTGGGCCCGAACCTCTTCTGTTGACACTGGATTGTCAAAGAAGAAATGGAGTTAGTAAAAGCCAATGACCGGGCAGCGGTGGCGCATGTCTTTAATCCCAGCACTCGGGAGGCAGAGCCAGGCGGATCTCTGTGAGTTCAAGGCCAGCCTGGGCTACAGAGTGAGATCCAGGACAGGCACCAAAAACTACACAGAGAAACCCTGTCTCGAAAAACCATACACACACACACACACACACACACACGCACACACACACACACACACGCACACACACACACACACACGCACACACACACACACACACACACGCACACACACACACACACACACGCCAATGACCACTGCATAGGGTAAGGGGCAACAGTAGGTGAGACAGAGAAGGATTTACTGGAGGGGACTGGTCATGTATAAAATCACTAGAAGGCTGGAGAAATGAGCCTAAAGATGTGCAGGGAATGTGCGGCTTGCAATGTGTGTCCCGCCTGCCCCTGCGTTCGGCTAGGCACAGAATGACCCAGCAAGGTGGCTCTGTCAGAGTGGACCTGGCAGGAAGAGTGGACCTGTGTTGCGCAGGTGTTGGCTCCAAACCCAAGCTGTGCTTGCCAGATTCACACCGGCAAAAGAGAACCGTCACATGCACTGTGGACCATCACCTTCCCATCTCTTCAGTCAGTTGCCAGCTCAGCCTCTCTGTCAACGTATCTGACTGACAGAGCGGGCATCACTCCCAGAACCTCAGCGTCGCGGCAATCTTGACAACGTTCCTTACTCTCTGCTTCTGTAACCCAGGAAGGCACATTGGAATGGAGGAAAGATGGTTTATACATGAAAATCTTTCAGTAAACTAACCTACCCTACCTGCCGCAAACCCCTCCCAGCCTGGGCAGAGTTCTCACTAGGGGCCTGATAGCTGTGGGGATCACAGCCATGGACTGTATAGCACTCGTGGGTTCTTAGCTTGGTCTAGATTCCTGGCGTGTGATAGTTGAAAGTTGACAGGTCACCCGACGGGATGTTTTCAAACTATTTCCCCCAGAACCCACCCAGAGGTTGCTACCAGCAACAGCTGAAGACTGTAACAGTAGAATTTCAACTTGCTTGCCTCCCCCCTCATCTGTTGTCTGTCTGTCTGTCTGTGTCTCTGTCTCTCTCCAAAAAGGAGGAAGAATTGGTGAGTGGGGGCCTCAGTAAGAGTGTGGCTTGATATAAAAATGAGCTATGACAAAATGCAAGAAAAATAAGTTAAGCACTAAGAGCAAATCCGGGTATCACATTAAGTGGTCAAGGAAGCTTCTAAGCCATCAGCAAAATGCAGCCAGCCAGACATCCAGTAGAGGACATTCGAGAGGACAGACGACACAGTCTGCCCATCCCAGCTCGCAGAGACCTGATGGCTGCTGATGGGGCTGTCAGATATTTGGTGAAGTGTTACTATGGGTGTCTATGGGGGCTTTTGTATTAGGTTAACAACTGAAAGGGCAGACTTGAGTAAAGCAGTTACCCTCCCTAACATGAGTGGTCCCCATTCTATCCGAATCTAGAATAGAACATAAACAGCCGGCTGACCTACCAGTATTAAGAATGCCTGCCCAAATGCTTGGGCAATCCTTTTCATGCCTTCATACCTGAGGTGAGACATGGGCTCCTTTTGGGTCTCAGGTCTTTGGATTCAGATCAGAATCATACCTCTGGCTTTCTTGAGACACCTCCCCTAATTTTTGTGTGTGTGTGTGTGTGTGTGTGTGTGTGTGTGTGTGTGTGTGTGTGATGCGTGTGGTGTTCATGCTAAAGAACCCTGACTTTATCAGTTTATATTTATTTTGTGTTTACAATATGCTAAACATATCATAAGACCTTTCTTTCCTGGTTTTAACCTTAATCTGCAGACTACATTAACGCAAATACTATCTAACACCAGGAGGTGGGCTGTTCAGGGACACAGGTCACTTTGTGGGCAGTAGTAGGCTCTGTTGAGTCTCAGGACTCTGGTTCCAAAGCTCTCCATCTGAAATGTGCTCTTTCAGATAATAGTAGTCATTCTTTCTAAAGGTGACAAGGAAATCAATTACCGAGGAAACGGATGAATGAGTACAGAGAAAGGCAATATAGAAGGAACAGCACAGGAAAAGACAACTTACACCATGTTTAGAAGGATGGATTTGCACATTTCCAATAGTGGTTTCTAAAGTCCTGGTCTGAAAAATTACAAACCCAAGCTCTAGTGCTAAGTAAGCCCATACTAATCATGTGGCTTCGGGCAACTTCATCTCTCTGCGTTTATTTCTGTCTATATAATTAGGACACCACCTGCTCCAGGTGGTTGTGAACCACCTTGGGATTTTAGTGACTGTTTTTATGTGACACAACTCAGTCATCTTCCAGAGGGACACAGGGGAAGAGAACAAATGTGTGCAGCTGCACTCATCCCAGTCCCTCTCATAGGAACGTGTTATATGTATATAATAGAATATAGGAAAATTTTATTCTTTGATGGATCATCAGTTTTATCATCTAGGGTTCAACCTCTGAGCTCCTGCTATAGCTGTACCGTTTACGGTCTTGGAAGAAAAGGATTCCACTCTGGAATCTAAGAGACAGGATCGGCTGAGGATGGAAGTCACCAGTCTCTAACTGGCCTGTCTACACAAGGCCATGTGCCTTATAAATACGTCCTTCGTCTTTTTCAAACTGTTGTCTCTAAACTGTTGTGTCTTTAGCTCCCCCAGGTCTAAAAGCCTAGGACAAAAACATATCGAAAGGCTAAAAATGTAGGAAAATACTTTGAAAAGTATACAGAAATATGATGGTTGTCTAACGCCCTGCTATATAGCATGTGACACATCATACCAGATTGATAATATTGTTATAAAATATATTGTTAGATGGACCTTCCTAGATGATGTCCCTTCCTCATTCTCAACTACCTTCACACTCGTTCTTTTTAACGTTTTCGGTAGCAATTTTAATATGAGTGACTTTGTCCCTTTACCTACACACACACACACACACACACACACACACCCCTCAATCATCAAGTGAAAAGAGCCAAGAAATATCACCCAGTGAACCAGACTTGCACTAACTTCTGAGTTATCTCCGAGGTCTAAGGACGCTCTAACACTGCGGCTGCCCGGCAGCCCGTCGGCGAGGAGAACCTCTGTGGGCTCCTGTGAGACAGCATGTCCCCAAGGACCGTGCTTGGTCGCTGAGTGGAGTAGTTATATTGCAGGGTTGGCCTGCACGGTAGCTTTTTAGAAACTTTCGATTACACGCTCCATGTAAGCTCAATTACATTAACAATGTCAAAATCTGCACCTGATGCATCACTAACAGTGTTGCAGACTTGAGTACAGAAAGTTGAATTTAAAAAATTGTGTGGTGTGACCATCCAGAATGTTTAGGACAGGACTGATTTCAAATACTTTGAAATTTTAAAATTTGGTACTTTTCTTTTTTGGTTTTTCGAGACAGGGTTTTTCTGTGTAGCTTTGCACCTGTCCTGGAACTCACTCTGTAGACCAGGCTGGCCTTGAACTCACAGAGATCTGCCTGCCTCTGCCTCCCGAGTGCTGGGATTAAAGGCATGCGCCACCACCCGCCCAGCTTAAAATTTGGTACTTTTCAAAGTCACTTGAAGGTGGGGGTTCTGGAGGTCTTCTTTTTCTGTCTGGAAGTTTGCGATGAACACAGATGTTAAGTTGGTCATGTGACTATGGCTTCAGATGGACAAACCTAAATTCGAGGGAGGGGTTTCTCATTAGGACAAATAGAATTAATGTTACAAAATCTATGTTATGTTCTCCCACACATTTCATGTTTTGTAATGCAAATACAGTATTTGCTTTTCACATTTAATAAATAACAAGACTGAGCTTTGAGGAGGTTAAATCATTTGCTTGATTGGTCGTGATGTTTGGTGGCTTGCTTGATTTTGTTTTTTATCTCTCCATCATTGTCCTCACTATCTCCAGAATGGTTTCCGAAGTACAATGTTTCTGAAAAACGACTCACCTGCACCATGAAGAAGTAGAAGCAGGTTGGCCCACATCAGAAAGAAAGCCATTCTGTGAGAAACAAAAAGGCAGAAATTTGCTTTGGCTAAGAAATAATCTGGGTCCCATAGTCACAGCCGTGTGTGTGTGTGTGTGTGTGTGTGTGTGTGTGTGTGTGTGTGTGTGTCTGTGTGTGTGTGTGTGTGTATGTGTTTGGCTAAGAGATAATCTGGGTCCCATAGTCACAGCCGTGTGTGGGGGGGGGGGGCACAGTTCTTCATCAGCACCGCCTCTACCTTCCAGACCTAGCAGAGGTACCCTTAGCTGACAGAGGCTCCCCTAACCTGTACTCCATGTGCCAATGTCTTCTGAGGGACAACTCCACCACTTCGAGGAGCTCTAACACAGAAGTACGTCTGTATGCAGATAAAGACACAACACTCAAACTGAACCCAACCTCCCACCTGGCCTTATTTCTTTTTTGTCTTGGCTTTGGTTTGTTTTTGTTTTTTCAAGACATGGTTTCTCTGTGTAACCCTGGCTGTCCTGGAACTCACTCTATAGACCAGGCTGGCCTCGAACTGAGAGATCTGCCTGCCTCTGCCTCTGGGGGGCTGGGATTAAAGGTGTGCTCCACCATTGCCATGGCTAGTTCTCCACACTTTAAACTCCACTAATACATCCCGACATCATGGTGCCACCCCACCTCACCCCACCCCACTCCCATCATTGCCTGTACCATTCCTGATCTCATCCCCCACCCCCATGCATACACAGTTTAAGGCAGCCCTTTTGAAGTTCTTCTCACCTCACAGCTAGCTAATCATTCCTTCTGCATCACCCTAAGCATAATTTTATCACACAAATCACATTGTAGGCAGTTATTTTTTCACATGTTCTTTATCTCTTTCTATTTCAAAGAAAGGCAGGATAAAGATTCCCTCTCAGTATATATTCTTGCCTCCTTACTTCCTATTATTTGTTAAGCCGGGGGAAATCCCACCACTATCCCCCAGGGCTACTTATGATACATTATAAGTATAATTGTGTGTCAACTACCTCTCCATGGAAGATACAGCAAGATATTTTGAAACCAGACCTAAATTAATATAGATTGAAGAGGTAAGCTTACGAGTAACAGCCACTAGGGCTATTGTAGTTAACAGAGAAAAGGGATAAGCAAATGACATGGAGAAAAGGTCTGAAAATACAGCATGTGTTTTTGATAACTCAACAGAATTTTGTCAGCTCTTTTGGATACGAAAGCTTTTCATCACTAGGAGAGACAGAAACTCCAAGGCTTTCCTGATCCCTTTCAACTCCAGTTAGACAGAATTTCCACTCCTCTGCCCTTTGCACCGCTGTGTGATCCTCTTACACATTTAATACAGCTTGTTTTCAATGATCCTAACAGTAACACAGGCTTAATGTAAAAATCATTTTAATAGACAAGAATACTAAAGTCACCTTCAACTTATCAACTTTGTCTTGCAGCTGTTTACATTCACATTTAACTACAGCTCTACTGGGCTGCTGCTCATTCCTCAAGAACAGGACTAGGCACTCCTCTTATTCTAAATATCCATCAAAGTAGCCCATATATTTTAGATCCAATAAGTACTCATTAATAGAATGAAATGCATCTGGTTTAATATTTTTACAAAGTCTCACTGTATAAAGGGGAAAAAATAAAACAACAACCTCCCCCCAAAACTCAAACCAAGAGATTTATGCACGAATAATAATGAGAGCAAATTATCCTAAAACAGAAAATTCCAGTCACATCGCCAGGCCTTGCCTCTAGTGTTTGTAATCTTCTTGATGTCTGATTTGCGGAAAAATCACAGAGAAGTCTGTGAAGCATGGCTGTGGCAATGTGAGCGTGAAGGAACAAGACACAGTTGGCAAAGACACCTCAACACTTCAGTCACACTGTGAGTCGCTTGACTGGCCAGCAATTCCTCCCAAGTAGTCTCTTCAGTCAAAGCATTTACCTGTATGCCAGCTGGTTTCTTTGATCAGCCAGCTCCGAAGCAAGTGAGGCAGAGCCAGCAAGTCTTTGAAGGGATAGTTGTGTGGCAGTCCTCAGGGAGACGGCTGGGAGATACTGCTATTACCAACCTGTTGCCACAGATGCTCAGTACAGAACTGTGAGACGATATTTTTACAGTCAGAGTTGTTAGCTTAAAACGTCTTTCAAGGTGTTATGTTGAGAACTGAAAAGAAAGCTCTAAACCTCTGCTGGGCAATTATTCTGCACTCATTTTTTTAAATCAAAATTTTGAAGACTAATAAAATAGTATGTGGTAAATGCTTACTATACAATTTTGGTGAAAAAAATAAAGTATGAAACTTTATATGCACACGATAACATGATATACAATGTCAGCCTTGTGAGGGGAAATGTGTGCTCATAGAGGAAGAAAATAAATGTATCATATAATAATGGATTATTTCTGGATGGTGGGATTGCAATTCTAGTGTTTTCATTGTGTATTCCTGAAGAGGTATGGATCTACCACATTTTATCTACCTTCTATCAGTTTAGGGATTTAGGGTTAATTTCATCTGTCTCTCCCCCACCCTGCCTGACTGTGATGAACAATGCTGTCACAAACATTTGTGTGTACATGCTTGGGATGACTTTTTCATTTTCTCTTTGGTATGTACCTGAGAGAGGGATTACTAAGTCATATGACAACCCCAGTTTTAAACCTTTTCAGACCATTCAGATGGGTTTCCAAAGTGACTACACCATTTTCCATCCCCACCATCAGCTTGTGAGGGTTAATTGCTATTTTCCACATATGCACCAACATTAATCACCATTTTATTTTAGCTTTTCTAGGTGGGCATGAGTATTGTGGGATATATGATCGCACAGTGAAAACTGAGACTGTGTTAATAAAATCAACCTTGGATCAGAGAGCAGAGCCAGCAACTAGTTGACAGGAATTAGCCATAGAGATTATGGAGAAAGTAGGAAGATGGATAGAGAGATGCACAGGAAGGAGTAGGGAGGGACTTGGAGTTTTGGGGGTCTTTTTTGGTTTGGATGGCTGAAGAGACCCTCTCTTGATTGGGTTTCCAGCCAAAAAGGAAGTTCAGCTGGTTGCTTCTCAGTTTCTCTGATCTAGCAGGTTTTCACCCCAACATCTGACTCCTGAGTCTTTATTGGTAAATGTAATGATAGAGACTTCGTTAAAAATTCTATTTGGTGGCTGAGGCAGAGCTGGTGCCAGTGAGACCAGAAATCCCACCAGGCCAAGGCCACAGGGGCTGCAGATGGTAGTTAAAATATCAGTAGATTCAGGTGTAGCCACTAAACTGACAGAAAACAACACATGAGTAGTTGGCTGTGGCTTTAATTCATATTTCCCAAATGACTAATGTGTATCACCTTTTCATGTGCTTGAGTGATACGCACATTCTTCCCTTCTAAAATTGCAACTTTCAATGATCCGTGCTTTATTTCTATTCATACACAGGAAGTCCCTTAAAGTCAGTGTAGTATTTTGAATGATATATTCCCCCACAATATTGGGCATCTAAATACTTGGTGTCCAGTTATTACTTTGGTAGGCTTAGGAGGTGTGGTTTTGCTGAAGGAAGTATGTCACCAGGGGTGGGTGTTGTGTTTATCTAAGTTGTTCTATGACCAATAAAGACTTGGGAGTCAGATACTGGGGTGAAAACCTGATGGATCAAAGAAGCGGCAGAGGAGGAATGACCAGCTGACCTTCTCTCCACACTTCCCAGATCGAAGAGAGCAAATCTCCAAGTGTCTCCCTACTCCTTCCTGCGCATCTTCTCTATCCGTATTCTTGACTTCTCTATGGCTAATTCCGGTCAGCTAGTCACTGGCTCCGCCCCCTTATTCAAGGTTAAATTTATTAACACAGTCTCAGGATATCACAGTGTGATCAAATATCCTGCAACAGGTGGGTTTAGAGGCTTCAAAAGTCATGCACCCTTTCCAGTGTGCTCTTTACGTTTTCTGTTGGGAGTCCCTGAGATGTGAGCTCTCAGCTCTGGCTACTTACCAACTGCTACCTCTGCTCTGCCAACATGGACTCTTATTCCTCTGAAACTATAAGCCAAATCAGTTTTCCCCTATAAGTTGTTCTTGGTCATGGTGTTTTATCACAGCAACAGAAAAGTAACTAAGCCAGGCAGTGATTGAATGTTTTAAAAAAAAAATATGATCACTATAATTAAGTTCCTCTGTATTGGCACCCAGCTCCATCATTTCTTGTGACTTGGAAAATTAATTAATTCTCCCATATCTTGATTTTATTGTATGTAAAATGGGGATAATGTGATCTACTTTATAGTTTGGAGATGGGATTAAGTAAAATATTGATCACAAAGCTCATAGGACAGTATCTGGCACACTACACCTTACGGCAAAGTACAATGATATGCACAATATTATGAAGAAATCCATTATTTTTGTATTCTTACTAAAAATAATATTAAAAAAGGAAAAGAATCACTAAAGCCTACCTTTAATTTTGCCTAAGATAGGGAGTTAGTGATCTGATTTGTTTGTTTGTTTGTTGAGACAGGATAACTACATAGCCCTGGCTGACCTAGAACTCACTCTGTAGACCAGGCTGTCCCCAAAAGCACAGAGATCCACCTGTCTCTGTCTCCTGAGTGCTGGGACTAAAGTCATGTACCCACATGCCTGACCCCAAGTTACTGATTTTTTTTTTAAGACTAGAACCACAGTGAGAGGAAGATGGAAGAACTTTAATCCATCCTAGGGGTATGTAGATAAGTCGAAGTGAAAAAGATTCTGCCGTGGAAATAGTTCAAAACCCCGTGTGCCCATCTGAGCATTTGACCTTCATCCGACAGGCAACAATAACCCTAGGCCTTAGCAAGTCTTTGCACACACACACAGCTACACACTTCTGATTCTCTTCACTGGGGCACTGTTGTACAAATGACAGGTTTCCAGGCAGTCTACAGATGGGCTTGTCTGGCTCAGCACCCACCAGGCCTGTGGTCCTGAAGTATGGGCACATAGCAAAAGCACATCACCTCAAATTTTGTTTTCAGCTAAGTGGTCCACCCTGGGTGTGTGCTTGACACCCACAAAATCTTCACCCTCACCAAATGCCCTATAACTCTAATAATCACAATATTTTTTGAAATGACACAAATGGGTAGATATCTTTTGAAATCCTGTCTACTCACTGTTTGGACAATCTTATCATTCTGAATAGGAAAAAAGCACACACTAGACTAGGTACAATGATTCAGTGTGTCGTAATTTAAAGGTCACGGACTTTGGAGTCACACAGACGTAATGCTAAATTTCAACTATGCTTGTCACTTGTCTATGTCATAGAAGGCATTTACTCTTTATTTCTCAGTTTACATTTCCTCCCCTTTAAAGTTTGGACAAAAGCTCCTTTTAATAAATTACATCAAACTTCCAAGTTGTTTGACATATAATTTATCTGATGTGGAAAATCAAATTAAATGTCAAGTTCTTGATAAGTGCGGATTTTTAGTAAATGTCAGTACTCTTTCAACTAAAAATATTTATAAATATACCGCTACTCAAAAGCTTAGGTACTGTGGGGGTTGGAGAGATATTCATAAATGAAGACGTTCCTCTCAGGGACCTTTCAATCTAACCTAATCATTAAAAACAAGAATCAACCAGGTAAGTCAGACACTAGTCCAATCAGTGAAAATTGTCTGAAAGAAATTACACCTGGGGGATGGAGAGATGACTCACCGGTTTAGAGCTTTGGTTGTTCTTCCAAGGGACCCAGGTTCAGTTCCCAGCACCCACATGGCAGCTCACAATTGTCTGTGACTCCAGTTCCAAGTAACACCCTCACACGGACATTCATGCAGGTAAAACACCAATGAACACAAAATAAAAATAAGTTTAAAAAAATTACACCTGTAAAAATGGGTAGCCTAGCCAGGAATAGTGACAAACACCTTTAATCCCAGCATTTAGGAGGCAGAGGCAGGCAGATGTCTGTGAGTTCCAGGACAGCCAGGAGTGTTACACACAGGAACCCTCGACATCAAAACCTTGTCTTGAAAAAAAAATACAAAACCCACAAAACAACAACAACAACACCACAACCAAAGCAGGAAAGACTGGAGAGCATCGTGTAAAAGGAAATAAACCAGACTCAGAAAGACAAACGTCCCAAGTTTCCTCTCATACATGAATCTGTATTTTAAGATCAATCTCTCTCCATATGTAGATAAGATACATATATAGATAAATGTGTGTGTGTGTGTGTGTGTGTGTGTGTGTCTGTGTCTGTGTGTCTGTGTGTATAGACAATAGACTGAGTGGAAGGAAGGTTTGTTTTGAAGGGGAGGGGAAGGGGAAGAGACATATTGCACACCCTCATATGCAGAACACGTGCATACGTAACATGAAAGCAGAGGGATAGTTTGGAGGGAAGAAAGGGTTGGGGGGGGCAAGGGAGGTGATGGTGGATTGAAGGAGCAAAATACAATGATATACAAGTATGAAAAAGTCGTGAAGAAACCCGTTACATAGTACATCTACATAAAAAGAAATCATATTTGCAATGGTAGGGAGTTGAATATAGGAGGGTGCACACAAAAGAAATAAAGATCTTTTCTCCGTGTGGGAGCCTGTTCTGATTGAAGAGCTATACCGTTTCCACTAAGATTTATAGTTTGCCTGGTATAGCTTCAAAAACACCATGTTCAACTTTTAGAAGATCGTTTCTGTCCAATGATGTTTACATTCATCCTAAATCCAACAAATAGATCAATAGTCAAATGTTTATTAAAATGGGTCATACCTCAGTTCTGCAAGCAGTATCCTTAAAATTTTGTCAGTTTGCACATTTCTTTGCTAAAGCTCCATTTTCTACCCTCTGTCCTCCACTGTTTATTTAAAAGAATTTAGTTTCTATCCCATTCAAAACTTTCTACGTAGCTTCAACTTCTACTATTGAGGTCGTCTTTTCCCCCATTACCTCATGTGTAATCTTAGCTCTTTTCCTGAATCACATTTTTTTTTACATTTTACATTATTGCTGTTTGTTTGTTTTATCAAGGATACACATTTTTAAAGCATGAAATTGCATTAAGTATTTTTTACTATTAGAGTTCCTTCTAGAATGTTAGTTTGATCTGAAATAAGGTCCATTTTAAAAAAGAAACTTTCACATCAGATGCTTGCAAGACACTTGAAGATTTTGTTTTCATTTTTTCAAGACAAGAGTTTCTCTGTGTAGCCTTGGCTGTCCTGGAACTCACTCTGTAGACCAGGCTGTTCTTAGCGATCTGCCTGCCTCTGCCTCCTGAGTGCTGGGATTAAAGGTGTGGCACAAATTTTATTTTTTAATACAGTCTCTCCATGTTATCCTGGCAGTTCTGAAACTATGTAGACCAGGCTGACCTCATACTCAGAGATCCTCCTGCCTCCTTATGCCCAGCACAGACTTTAAAAAAAAAAAAAAAAAATCCACCCACAGATTGTTAAACTGACAGACTATATCCTTCTACGACAACTCAATCATAAAAGCTTCGCTGTGAAGAAGCATGAAGTCTCTCACTTACATGACTGATGACAAGCTCTTTTTTTTTCTTTTTAGGAGGAAAGGAATTTAATGCCATTAGTTTTTCTTGTATTTAAGCTCAGTAAGAAACAAAACTAAGTATTTTTCTCATTTCCATTAAAATTACAAAGTGTAATTTCAGAAAAGATTGAAATTGGGATAAGGATGAAAAATGCATGAACCGGAATTACTAAATCGGAGGCTGAGTCAAGAGTTTCCCAGTTAAATTCTGGTTCTCACTTGCAGTGGACTGTGAGTGCTTTCTCGGAGAGTTCAATGTAAACTAGCTCGAATCAAGAGACCTCCTCAATCCAGTTCCCAGACTCATTCCCAACCACAAGAACAGACCAGAGCCCACGCGAGTGATTCTGTAACTGAAGTGGGTAAAGTTCTTATTCGACACATATTTCTTTTACAATGCTGCTTTAAAAGACAAAAGAACAAAAAAATCCTGAAGGGCAAGTAGGGAAGGTCCTGAAGCATGTTTTCCAGATGGGGCAATTGCAATCAAGCTAATTTCTAATTTGGGCCTTAGCTTCGAAGAGGGCTTTTGTTCCCTGGCTGGCCTGGGACTCGCTCGCTCTGCAGGACGGGCTGGCCTCGAACTCAATACACCCGACTCTACATTTCAGTCTAGGGACCAGAGGCGTGCGCCACCAGGCCGGTTCTCCCGCAGACTTTAAATCCTCGGGTTCCGTCCCTGTCATGGCTGCGCTCTCCCGATCCGGCCGATTTGGGGGCCTGGTCTCTAGCGAGAACAAAGGAGGCGGCGCCCCGTGACGCACAGGCCCTCCTAGGGCGGGCCCGTCAAGCCCCGGAGCTGTTTACTCCGGCGGCCAAGGCCGCGGGGCCGCCCGACTATAAAGGACGCCGCAGCGCGCACGCTCCAGAGCGCTCGCCCGGCAGCCGGAGCTCCACGAGGCCGAGCCCTCCCGGGAGCCAGGACGGCTCCCTCCGACGGGAGCCGGGAAGGCTCGGAAGACCTCGGCTCGCTCCCAGCGGACGCCGCGCCGCACGCCACGTGAGCCGGAGCCCGCCCCGAGCGGCGCGCGCACCCGGCGCTGGGCATCGCGTGACTCGGGGCCGGCGCGCGGGGTGAGCGGCTGGCCGCCCCCGGGCCGCGCGCCACTTCCGACGCAGCGCTCGCTTGGAGCTTCCGGGGCGCGCCGCGGCGTCCGCTGGCGGAGGCGGCGGCGGCGGCGGCGGCCTGGGATTCGGGCGGGATGGAGGAGGCCGCCATCGGAGATGCCGAACTCAACTGGTCCCGCCTCAGCGTGTCGGCCGAGGCGCTGGAGTCGGAACTGGAGGCGCGCGCGGAGGAGCGGCGGGGCTCGCGGGAGGCGCTGCTGCGCCTGCTGCTGCCCTACAACCGGCTGACGTCGCTGCCGCGGGCGCTGGGCAGCGGCTTCCCGCACCTCCAGCTCCTGGACGTCAGCGGGAACGCGCTCACGGCGCTGGGGCCCGAGCTGCTGACGCTGAGCGGCCTGCGCACGCTGCTGGCCAGGAACAACCGGCTCGGCGGCCCGGGCTCGCTGCCCAAGGGCCTGGCCCAGTCGCCGCTCTGCCGCAGCCTCCAGGTGCTCAACCTCAGCGGCAACTGCTTCCAGGAGGTGCCCCCCTCGCTGCTGGAGCTGCGAGCGCTGCAGACCCTCAGCCTGGGCGGCAACCAGCTGCAGAGCATCCCCGCCGAGATCGAGAACTTGCAGAGGTGAGAGGCTGCGGGCCGGGGTGGGGTGGGGTGGGGCGGGGGGGGGGTGGAGAGCAGGGCGGTGGCCGGAGCTCCGTGGCACCAAAGGACTGCACGACCATCGCCAGTGGTTAGCGTAATAACTAAGGTGGAGTGGATCATGGCGTTTGCATTGGGTTTGGCCTGCGCAGATTTTCGAAGCAGTTTCGCTGCATTCTTTTTGTCGTCGTGTCGTCGTCCCCCACCCCCACCCCCCCCACACACACCCCACAGTGAGCTCTGAAATTCATGGTGTAGATCAGGCTGGCCTCGAACTCACAGAGATCTACCTGCCTCTACCCCCCCCCCCCCCCAAGTTCTGAGATTAAAGGTGTGCGCCTCGAAATCCGGCTTCGCCTTATTCCTTGAGTCTAGAGAAGCGAAGTGGACACCCATTAGCGGAGGTGGTCCATTTCTTACTGGAAAGCCTTCCATGGCTTTCCTTGCCTTTGCATCAAAGTGGGCCCTTTAACGTGACGTAGGAGGTGCTCTGACCTACTCCCTTGTTTTTCTATTTCCAGCTCCCTCTTCTCTCCTGCGTTACTCGGACTACCATTTGTGGAGTTAATGAGCTTTTGCACTTCCCCCACCGTGTAGAAAAGGCAGCGTGTCACTCGCTAAATATGGATCGGATTGGGTGGGCACAAAGCCTCTTCACAGGGAACTTATTCACACTTCAAAATCTTATCTTAGGAGTCGGGTCTGTGATTTCCCCCTCCCCCTCTTTTTTCTTGGTTTTTCGAGACAGAGTTTCACTGTGTAGCCCTGGCTGTCCTGGAACTCACTCTCGACCAGGCTGGCCTCGAACTCAGAGATCTCCCTGCCTCTGCCAGCGATTAAAACATGCGCCGACACCACTTAGCTTGTGACCCCTTTCTTTACTGTTCCCTGGACAATTAACAGCCAAACGACTTTCTCTCTGTCTCGCTCACACCATTGTATTTATTTTATTGACTGTAATTTCTTCCTTACAGGGATTGTCTATCTCACCTAGTAGGTTATTCAACAATATAGAATTATGTAATGAGAAGCTACAGAAAAGGTATTGAAAGTTCCCTAGGGTGCCCTTCAGGGGAGTTGGAAGTAAAACATCAACAACGAAGAATCTTACATTTGTTAATTTGTTAAATATTTTCAGCTCCTTTATTGGATAAGTCAGGATAAAAGAATGTGGAGCAGGAAAGAACCTTTGAGTTAACAGGGAAAACATTGACCTGGGAATAAAAATTAACATCTCAGCCTTAGGCAGGCCACCCACTGTGTCCCTTAATTTGCTCCTTGATAGATGTTTACAGAGTGCTTGATGTGTCCATTTCTTAGGTTCTGGGGAGATTTGGTAAGCATGAATCTAAGCCCGCGTGGATCTAACAAATTATATTGGCAAAGGGTAAAGATGCTAAAGATTTATAGATTTCCTTATTAAATTACAGTGCATAGAAATAAATCCTGGGATGTGAGAGCACCTTGAGACAGAATAACAGGATTTGACCTAGTTTGGTCCTGGAGTAGGTGCTGTTTGAGTCAGGCTTTGAAAGGAAGTAACAGTGAAGATTACTGAGTGTGAGCCATCGGGATCAATCCAAGTAAATGTGCATGTGAAAGCCAGAAGCAAGGAGGAGAGCAATTGCCAACTGCTGAACGATGAGCATCGTACTCGAAAGGGACAGATAAAAACTGGGGCCACTCGGGCTGCATTACAGCTTGAAGGCTTCCCTGAGTGTGAGTTGCATTCTGAGTGCACACATGTCTTGTCCCTGTGGAGTGGGGAGAGGCTGAAGAGATGAGGGAATTTTGAGGCTGCTGAGGAGGTCATTGTGGTAGAACAGAAATGATGGTAGTCTACAACAGGAGTCCTAGGGAAAGATAGGGTGTAGGGCAGTTAAGGAGAGACTTATGTTAATTTGACAGGCTTTAGTTGTGATATTATGTAATTCAGGCTTTTCATTTCAATTCCAGCCTATTAAGAGGAACCCAGGGAGAGTGTTATCTCCACATGGAAAAAAGAAGTAGGCAAAATTCCATGTATGGAAAACTTCAGACTATGCAGTGCAGTGGGTGGGCCCTGTCATAGGCGCTCCAACATTCTCTGTGAGTCTAAGATGAGGTTCTCTGTTTTCAGAGGAAGAAACAAAGGCTCAGAGAGGCGAAGTCTCAAGATCACAAACCTGTGAAGTAGTGGAACTGGGTTTGACTCCTGAGGTCTCTGATACCAAATCCATAGGTTTCCCACAGTGGCTGGCTAGCCAGCCCTGAGTCTCTAGCTTCCGTTGTGTTGGCATATGTGATCCAGAGGACTGGCTCAGGTCACTCACACCTGGTTGACCTGATCTTCTGGCCTGCCAGCTGCTACTCAAGGTGGTCAGTTAGTCATTATGACTTGATAAATTGTGGGATTTTTGTTGTTCAGTCTTGTGCTCTATTTCTCTACTGATAGGAATCAGCAGCGGTTTAGAGAATGAATTCTAGTTGGATGTGGGCCAAAGGGTCATGCAGAATTGTTCTCCCACAGAAAGAAAGAAGCAGCTTTGACCATGACCTAGTTCAGTTCCTTCTTTTCACGGATGAGGAAGCTGAGATTTCATGGGAATGAGTTGCTTGGAGCAAAATCCTGGCCACAGTGAGAGCTCGGTGGTTCAGTTCTCAGGACGGCTAATTATTCTGAAAGGCTGCGAAATGGAGCGGTGGTGTTACAGTCCCTTGAACCTGCGGGAGCTCTTGATGTTCCTCAGATCTGTCAGTTCTCTCCGTGGTAAACCTGGTGTGTCCTGTGTGCTGTGGTGTGCAGCCCTGCTCCTCTCCTCCCTTCTGGTGCTGAGGGGAGACCACATGACCCTCCGCATGCTAGGCAAGAGCCGCTTCTTGAGCCAAGTCGAATATTTTGGCACATGAAGAAGATTCTGTCCTTTTAAAGAACAGTTAAGAAGAACAATTATTTAAAATTACACAGAGCATATGGTCCACAAAAACTCGCCCTTTCCAGGGCGAGTAACAGGAAGTAAGTATTCCAGGAAGGAGTAACAAGATCTTGGCTTACGTGCCATCGGCCTCTCAGGTTTTCCTGGGTCTTAAATGTGTCTTCATTCTGCTTCTTGGTTCCTCCCTTAGTGACAAAATTTTGAAACTTAAAAAAAGTTTCTGTAAGATGACTTTAAAAAACAAGTAAATGGGTGCTGGGAGTCTTGTTTATTTATTTTATGACTGACTTCATTCCCCTGGAATGTATCAGGCCATTATATGAATACAGATTCTGTTCGTTAAAGATAGCTTCTTCAGAAAACAAGTGTAAGGTTTTGGCGTTGGGTAGGCGGGCTTGTTGTCGTTTACAGTGCTGAAAGGGTGGGAGTGGTTCACACTCGACGACGATGGTCCTTCTAGTGAACTTGGGTTCCATTCCTCTCGAGCTTGAGTTCTTACTCCTTGAGCACCAAACAGTACATGGTTTGTGTGGCATCCTGGGTGCTGTTTGGAGACTGAAGCTGAGCCAAGGGAGTTGCGTGGGTCCCTTTCCCATCCTCTTTTTTAGTGACCTTTTCTTGGTGTCTGTTTAATGTGGTTTTCAAAGATAAAGATATGAGGATTGTGACAGAAGAAAAGCTAAAAATAGCCCCTGGAATGTTAAAGCTAGTCTACAGTGGTTATCCTAGGAATGAGGTGACTCACCAAGTAGGAAATGTGCTAAAATTGAAGCAAAACACTTGCCCCGGTTAAAACCTTACACTGAATTTGTGCGTGTCAGATTCCCTGTGCTGATTTCCTTTAATTTCATACCATGTATTTTGATGATAGACACACACACACATACACACACACACACACACACACACACACACACACACACACACACACCCACACCCTAGGTTCAATACTACCTACCCACCCAATTTCAAGTTTCTCTCTCTTTTTGTTTTGTTTTTTGATGGTTTTGTTTTTCTTTTAAACCCACCAAGTTCCCTGTTCATGTTACCCTGCTACTCTTGGTTGTGGGGCCTGTCCTGGAGTGTGGTTGACCTACTGGGGGTTACACCATTAAAGAAAACTGACCCTTTCCCTCCCAGCAGCCATCAAATGTCTTAAGTAATTCCTCAGCTACCAGTGGGTGTGGTGATATTTTATTTGTATGTTAATAAATAAAGTTTGCCTGGAGATCAGAGGACATAGCCAGCCATAAACAAAAGTCAGGCAGTGGTAGCACACGCCCTTAATCCGATCACATGGCAGGCAGCTGTCTCTGTCATTTTTGGAAGTTGCTTACAATGCTCTTCCTGTTTACTTAGGTAATATTGTATCTTTCTGAGGTCTTTGATGTAGTTGAAGACTAGAGAGTTACAATTTTCCTTGGTTATAATAAAAGATAAATTAGATATGAAACGTTAGACTCACAAATATAGGATAGATAAAATATTTTCTTTAATTTTACAAAATACAAATAGACTAGATATTATAACTGTAATTCTTGCTGGATAACTTTTTTGTTATATGTAATTTTAATAGGTTAAAGTTAAAACCTTCCTGTTGTTTAGACAGAAAAGGGGAAGTGATAGGGGAATGTCTTTCTGTACGCTGTGATTATGTGTTGCTTTGATTGGTTGATAAATAAAGCCGTTTGGCCTATGGCAAGGCAGCTTAGAGGCAGATGGGAAATTCAAAAGGAGAGACAGGAGGAAGGCTGGAAGAGACGCCAGCGAGCCGCCCAAGGAGCAACATGTAATGGGACACAGGTAAAGCCACGGAACATGTGGTGATACATAGATGAATAGTTATGGGCTAATTTAAGATATAAGAGCTAGCTAGCAAAAGGCTTGAGCCATGGCCATGCAGTTATAATTAATATAAGCCTCTGTGTGTTTATTTGGGGGATGTGAGTAGGAGAGATTTGCCCCTATTGCTGGCAGGCCGGAAAACTCCAGCTACAGGTGGGACTTTGTATCCGCATCCTCCACTCCATGCTGGGATTTGCATGCTGCCACAATTGCTGTGAGTTA